CGGGGAGTACTACTGCATCACCGAGGCCCCCTTCCTCCATAAGATCGACCCTACCACCCTTGAGACCATCAGCAAGGTGAGGTGTGAGGGACAACTGTGGCAGCCAGTAACTCACATCAATACTGTATTTTTTTCTCTTTAAGTCTTAAAAGTCGTAACATCAACACTTTCACCCTCCTCCATGTTTACTTTCCTTTCTGCACCACCCTCACCCTCTACCCATCCCCTTTGTCCTTCCCAACTTCCATTCTGCTCCATCCTCTTCCCATTTCTGACCCTCCCCCTCTTCCTTCATCTCTCCCAACTGCCCCCATCCTTTTTGCCCCTCTCCCCACTCGACCCCTTCCCCTGATCAGCTAGTGTCATAATCGGACGTTTGTATTGTAGGTGGATCTCCATAAGGAACTGGGTATCAACTCTCACTGCCCCAACCCTCGTACTCTAGCTGACGGCACCACCCTCAATATCCTGCACGGTGTTGGTGCTACCGGACCCAAGTATGACATCATGGCCTTCCCGCCCAAGCCACTGGATGGTAAGGGTAAGTATTGTCAGCAGGATGAGCTATAATTTAGTGGGGAGTTACGTATATGCACAATCATTAAAAAAAAACTATCTATTAAAAAGAAAATGAGACAACTGACAAAGGATTTTGACAAGCCTACCGAGAAAACAGGAGTCGCAATGTTCATTCTGAAATTCGTTGACCCCCCTCCCAAGTAGAAATAGTTTTTTGAGTGACTACTATGGAATCTTTTTTTAGGCATGTAAAAATCACTTTTCTCGACACCAGCACTCCTCCACCCCCCCCCACAGCTTTACCTCCCCCACATCCTCCTTACCCCCACTTAGCGTGTTTCCCCCACTGCTCCAATTACCCACAGTTCCTTCCACTTCCCTCAGTTCCTACACTGACCTTATTTAATTTTTGTTTTTATATCTCCCATTTAAATTCTCCTCCACCCTACAGTACCCTTACGCTCTTGTGAACCTGAACATCTCCCTCGTATTATCCACAGCTCACGTGTTCGCTAAGCCCAAGAAAATCGCCTCGGTCGACGCTCGGTGGAAACTCAACCCGTGCCACATGCACACCTTCGGCTTGACAGAGAACTACTTCGTCCTGCTGGAGCAGCCCCTGACCATCGATGTGAAGGCCATGGTCGCCAACACCATCCGCGACAAGCCCTTCATTGGCGGCATGGAGTGGATGGAGGATAAGCTGGTAGGTGTGGAATAGATGGAGGATAAGCTGGTAGGTGTGAAGTAGATGGAGGATAAGTTGGACAAAGGTGGATGGAGTATAAGCTGGTAAGTGTGAAGTGGATGAAAGATAAACTGGTAAGTGTAGAGTGGATGGAGGCTAAGCTGGTAAATATGGAGTGGGTGGAAGATGAGCTGGTAAGTGTAGAGTGGATGGAGGATAAGCTGGATATGGAGTGGATGGAGGATATATTGGGTCGACTGGGTCATATCTGTTGGTTGGTGGTTGGCTTTAAGGACATACCATGGCATGGGAAGTCGTACCTCGCATAGTTAATTAAGAATAATAGCACTGCCACGACCAGCCCCTCTCACCGGGGCACCAACTAAGTTGACTATAGTCACCATATGAGTGTTTGCAAAATAGAGAATGATTAAATATCAAGATTCTATACCAGTGGTACTTAACTAGGGAACACGCTCCCCTTGGGGGTCACAAAACAGCAATGCTTGGGGTAGAAACATACCGGGCGATTCACTTGAATTATTACAAATTTACTCAGATTTTTGTTCACGAATTTTGGCGTCTTCTTTTTGCTCCAAAATATAATTGTTGACTTGTAAGATATGTAATTTTCTTCCATACTCGCCTATGGTTTTCACACTCTCTGGCTGGTCTCTCTACATGTCTGCATCCATTTTCATATTGGAAATATAAGATTTGAGCGTTTCAGACATCGCGGTTGTGATGCGTACAGTACGTTTGTACGTGTGTGTAGTTACTGCTTTGGCTCTGTTGCCTTCTGGACATTTGCAACCACATACCTGATCTTGTGCGAGGCAGTTTATTCAACGTTTCTACACATTAAATCAAAGCCCAGAAACTGTTTGGATACAAGTGATGAAAAGCGTGTGGCCATTTCAAAGAAAGAAAAAACATTCAATGACTTACGCAAATGTCTCTGCTTGACTGCTGTATTATTAAATAAATCAAGGTTACTTCTATGTGTGTCGTGCCATTTCAACTATATTTGTAAATTTTATTTGAAAATAAAGACATGTTACGTATACAAGACCTATTTTTGGCAAGGGGTACGAGAAACCCAAGGGGCACGAGCAGCGAAAAAGGTTAAGGGCCACTGATGTAAATATACAGAAGCACTTGACATACACAAATAACTATCTATAACTCTTTGTAGGGGAGCGGCACACTTAGGCATTTTATTCTGGGTAACGTCAGACGATGTTATTCAGCTGAGAGAAATCCTTGCCCTGCAAAGGACACTTTCAATAATGTATGTAGATTTCTGAACTGTTAGCCACAAATAGACAGAAGAATGTCGCCAAGGTTTGACGCATATCGCAAACAACCGGTCTAGTACAGTACATTGTTATTTCGGGTACTTTTAAGTGTACCACGGTTTCACGTGAATCCTTACAAGACATCGGGGAAATTCACCCGAATCTTTAACATGGTATATCTCACCTGAATTCTTACAGGATTCCAGGGTATTCAAACTCGCATCTTACACAAAGATGTCTAGATCACTCCACTCTCAAAGAGAGGTCTATACTGTAGTATTATTCCCAGCTAATAAGCTGGCCTTTTATGTTAGGTCGTGTGGAGTATAAGCTAATATGGGTGGAGTGGTTGGAGGAAACAATATATAATACTGTAGTAAGCATGGAGTGGATGGAGGCAATACTTAAAAAGCGGAAATATCTCCAAAAGTTACTTTCGTTATGGCCCTCGACATCTCCAAAGCATTTGACAGGGTATGGCAAAAGTCTTTGCTTTCTAAACTTCCCTCTTATGATTTCTCTCCTCCACTTTGTTCTCTAATTTCTAGCTTCCTTGAGAACCGACCCATGGCAGTTGTTGTCGACGGATCGAAACTCGCAGTTTCTCTACTAATAGTGGTCCACAGGGTTCTGTTCTTTCACCTACTCTCTTCCTTCTTTTTATCAATGATTTACTTCATACTACTACTGGTTATATCCATTCTTACGCTGATGATTCTACGGTTTCCTCTTCTCATTTTTCCCTTCCCCCTAATTCTCAAACTAGAACTGTTTCTAGAGCTAATATCGTTTCATCTATCAATACGGAACTGTGTAGCATCTCCGAATGGGGAGGTAGAAATTTGGTTAAATTCAATAGTAATAAAATACAGTATTTACCAATACCACTTTCCAAATTAGAATATCGCCCACCAATCACATTTCTGAATGAAATTATTTGACAATTTCTAAAATATATATGCTAGGCCTCATCATTTCCTATAATATGTCATGGAAGCCACACATCGACAACATTGCTAAAGCTGCCTCCCGAAAGTTCGGAATGCTGTACAGATGCCGCAGCTACTTCACTCGAAAGCAGTTGCTTCAATTTTTATAAGGGATTCATTCGTCCTAACTTGGAGTACTGCTTTCATAATCTGGGGTGGCTCTTCTTATGTCCAACTGTTAGATAGGGTGGAATCAATGGCATTTCGTCCTATTAACTCTCCTCCTTTAGTCGATAAGCACTCTTCCCTTTCTGTTCGCCGCAGTGTTGCTTTACTCTCTCTGACAGGTACTTCAACGGGCAATGTTCGGTGGATTTGGCGTCCTGTGTACTGCTGGCAAGGCAATGGGCTCGTAACACTCGTCTTGCCCGCGGTGCCCACCGTTTCTGTTTGGATGTCGATCACACTAGAATAACCCGTTATAGTACATCTTCCTTCCTCACACAGCCAAACTGTGGAATGCTCTGCATTCTGTGTTTCCATACCCATATAATGTCTCGCTTCAAAAAGTCGGTTTTCCGGCATCTTCGTAGTGTAGATTAATAGTCTTTTTCTCTTCTATTTTTAATTTCTTTTTACTCTTTTTTTTTCGTCCTCCAGGCCCCGTTGTGGGTCAATGACCTGTGCCCGGGTGGGCTATTCCCGTAAAAAAAAAAGTTAAGACATCAACTCTGTAACAGTTTCGTAACGTATGGCTCTTCCACTTCTGTCTCTCACTCTTCCAAAACAAGCTTCTAATTTGTTCTTGTCGTGTCTGACAGGTGAAAATTCACCTGATAAACCGGGAAACAGGGAAGGAGGTGAAACAGAAGGTGAAGTGTGAGGCGTTCTTCTACATGCACATCATCAACTGCCATGAGCGTGATAATCACGTCGTCATCGATGTTAACGCCTACAAGAAGCCCGACCTCCTGCACGCCTTCCACGTCAAGAACCTAAGAGTGAGTGGGTTGTCTCTTCCCATTAATAACTCCACCCTTGAGAGTTCTCTACATTATCATACTTCTATGTTTAACTGAACTTTACTCGTGAAACACTGGAAATAAATTACTATAATTTAACGATTGCAGATTTTAAACTCTTCATTTCCAGCCAAATGGCTCTTCAAGTGTATCACCATCATCAGGTCTTGAAGTCAGTCCTGTTGTAAATTTTTTACGTTTTTCAGTTGTATACTATTCACACAGTCATTCATACATTTTTAGTGATAGTTTTCTTTTCACAAATACGTAAAGATCATAAAAAAGACACGAGCAAATTCCTGTACTCCTTTTTGTTGGTGAGGGATGCCATACACTGCATATAAAGTGTTGTTGGTAGAACAGTTGATATACTAAACTTTGGCATCACAATCGGTGCCACACGAACAGTCGGATCCTTGTCTTTCATGAAACATGACAGCTGGGACTGGTGTTCACAAGTACCGGGACCCATTAAGACTGGGCACATCAGAATTGGGCTATCTGACTATCCACTTTGTTAATATTACTTGAACTTATCATGATAGTGGTTGAATGTCTTACTGTTCACTTGCTACAGGAGTCAATGTTGGTCCCATATTATATAGTAAGTCCTATAATGTGTAATATTGTATTATATATTTCTCCAATAATATATGGTAATATAGACAATGGTCCCATACTATGTAATGAGGTAAACAATGGTCCCATAGTATGTAATAAGTCAGACACTGGCCCCATTATGTGCAGTAAGATAGACGCTACACGTCCCAAATTTGATAAAAACGTACTGTACGTTATTCCTCTCGCTACAGGAGAAGGGTGGTAACCTGGGCAACGAGCTGGATGGAGGCAACGTGAAGAGAATCGTCATCCCGATGGAAGTGTCGGAGAAGGTGGCTCCTGAACTCAACTTGGTAAGATTAAGCTACTGTATGTTCGATATGTCGCCGGTAACGGAGAGCCCCCCGGGGGGGAAGGGGGGTACATGAAAAGACGCACCAAGTTGAAGAGATTCCCTATGCTATCCCGACCATTCTTAGCATACTTAAAACTCGTCGATTAAGTCATACTGAAAGTAGGATACCACCATCTTACAGTTCATAATATGAAGAAAAAAGTAATATTTTTTCATTTAATCATTTCTGAATTTTTGTTGGCAATGTGGTGAAGTAAATACAATATTAAAGGATAACTCTAGGGGATTTTTCTCTGGTTAGCGGCCACAAGATTTATGCTTTAGGACGAAAATATAAATAAAGACATGATAAAGGTCCTGACCTCCACAACCTCTTTTGAAAATGTACTTGAAAAATACATCCAACTTACCAGGTGGCTGATGATGTCGCATGAATTGCCATAACACTAACAGCTACTCACATATCTCAAAAACAAATACTATTTCATGTTTCAAGTCCAGTATTATAAAGATTACATTTACCTTTATGGAAAACAACCAATTAAATAGTGTCAACAAAGCATTTTTTGCTTTGTTTTTATCTTTTATAAAGCAATTCAGTCTTTTTCATAGATGGGACATTATGCAAAGTGAATGAACTGCTAAATTTTTAGGTAATTGTTTTTTAAGGTGTAATATATTACTGTTGGAACATGAGAAAAAGAAAAGAGTGGGTTACCATATATAATGTTTTGTTTTGTTTTTTATGTAAAGTTTGAGAGTGGCAACCTTTGTGTACTTTTTGGGTTTTGGCAGGTGATGCTCCCAGGCACCAAGGCCAAGGCTCACAGGCAGAAGGACGGCTCGCTCATCCTCACCCCAGACGTGATCACTGACTATGCCCAGGAGGTCCCCACCCTCCACCCTGACTACGTCACTAAGAGATACCGCTACTTCTACGGCAGCAGCGGCAACATGACCGGCACCACTGGCAAGGTGAGACTCTACTGTGTACTGTAAGTTGTGTTGACGGCTCGGAGAAGCACTATGTGTTGTGTTGAGGGCTGGGTGTAGTGGGTGTAATGTTAAGATTATAATGCAGTTGATGGTGAAGTTTATGAAGTGTAGATAGTGCAGCTGGTGCAGTGTTTTCTTGTCTTCTGAGTTCTGTCTGTCTCCGTCTGTTTCTGTCTCTGGGAAGGAGCTGTCGGCCCCTTCCCTGTTCTAATAATAATTCTAATGCTTCGTTGCAGCTCCTTATATTAGCGGAGACAAGCCGGCAGATGACATATCCTAATTAACACTAAACTGGTTAGGTCTGGACAGCTGTGTTTGCCCAGGTGCGCGGTCATGTCGCCGGTCCGTAATGCTTCCTAATTATTACCACCCGGGTGTCTTGGCCAGGTGTAGTTTCTTTAACACAGTCAGAACGCCGGGTTAACTCGGGTAACCTTGTGGCCGTGACCTTTCCTGGGTCATGTCTTAAGCTCACTGTAGGGTGTGTCAACCTACGTGGGTTACCACGTGGGCATCTACGTACTGTTATATGTGTTACACTTCTCTGGGCTGTAAGCTATGGTCTGATAAACAATCATTACAGAATCAGTATAAAATAGTGTGACAAATTTTCTTGCACAGTCAATCCAAAAGTATCGAGACCCCAGGGTTAGGTGGCATAGTGAACGAGCGATAACTTCAGGCATGTTCATGTATCGGTTGGATTGGGTTGGGTTGGGTTGGTCTTTGCCCGTTTCATATTCTTTATGACGCCTGGGATCACGATACTTTTTGGATTCGCTGTACCTAATTATTTAAAGTGAAGGTACACACAATAAAAAAAGGCATCCCTCAGCCCCCCAGGGATACTTCCGTAATGATCCATACATCACCTGATGTGTTCAACTATATATACAGCAGGATATTTCGTGAGCAACAGATATGTGAGGACACCCTCAGGCAAGGAAAGCAGGACTACCACCATAATACAGGACCAGCACACATGTTCCACTCTCTCGTCCGTGGTGTCATATTATTTCGCACATAATCCGTGCGGTGGGCTACTTTTTTTTGCTGTGTGTGCATATTAATTTCAACCACAGTATAAAATGTAACAACCTACTAAAAAGAGGTTTGCTCATGTCTATAGGTTAGCAAGGTAGACATGGAGACACGTGAGATTAAGGAATGGTGTGAAGATGACCTCTACACCAGCGTCTCCTACTTCGTGCCGAGACCAGGAGCCACGGTAAGCAACACCTCGCTGTCTCACTGTTCCCTGGAATATTGTTATACACGAATTTCAACTGTCCTTTTTGTTCCCTGAAATATTTTTACTTATCAATCCTTACTGCCCTATCAGTAATCTTTCGTTGCTTCATCACCCAGAAGATAGGCTGTAAGAGAAGGAATGTGACTCAAATGTTTCGACTGAAAATATTTTCCGAGAAAGTACACTATTTTCTCTCTTGAAATATTGATGTTCATGTTTTTTTCTGATTTATGTGTTCCAAATTGTGACGTGATTATGTGCTTATGGCATTGCAGACTGAGGACGATGGTGTTCTCCTGGTGACGATTCTTCACGGAAAAGACAGGAAGAAGATTACCCTTCTGGTACTGAACTCGGCCGACATGAGCGAAGCGGCCCGCGTAGTGTTCATCACCTCCTCAGATGTCCCCCGCTCTCTCCACGGCAACTTCATCCCCGCATGAACATTAGAAGGATTTTTTTTTACCCAAGGACAACCTGTGAGGAGAAAAATTGTTAGATGAAAACAGAAGTGTTTAACAATGACAACTTTAGAGCAGCACGGTAACTGCCACGCGAATTGTGAGAGCATGCCAGAGCAGATTAAAATTAATACATAAATAAATAATTACCAGATCAAATAGCAAAATCTCAACTCTCCGAAAGAGCAGATAACTAAGAACAACTAGAAAATGTGAGGAGAACCTGCCAAGAAACAAGTGTTCTGACAACAGAACTGAGGACCTGTAACACTGCAGAACCCCCCCCACACACACACACACACACACACACACACACATTAACTACGGTTCATGTAAGTGATATATTGCATAACAGAGGACCAGTAACACCAGTATTTTTTTCTTACGTTACTTTCCATATACCACAAGGCGTATTTATACTCTACTACAACAACAGGAGAGATTTTAAGTAGAAGTGTATTGTATAGCAAGTTTTTCTCGCTGACGGAGGACCATAACATTATGAACTGCATTATGTGTAAACTACATTTTTACAAGTACTGTAACTTTTAAGTACTTCAGATGAATGTGCCGTATTTTTTTAATACAGTGACTTAACAAGTGCAGTACGATGTATGAGTGCCGTAAATTTATGAATAATCTCATTCCGGTGAATTTGTCTTTATAAATAATATATGTTAATAATTGTTTTATTTATCTAAGCGTTCTTTAACATTGAATCTGTAGAAGTATTGCAGCCGTTGTCATCAGCAGCCTCTCCAGCCTGTGGTAGTAGTTTAATACAATACTGTACCCGGAAGGACATAGAACGAACTATTGATAGAAATGTGTACATCACGCCTCAAAAATGCCCAGTATTACTGATAAATGCCTAGATAACAAAAATCCAGTAAAACTGTGTAAATTACTACTTTAAAATCACTCCATTTTGTCAGTCTTTTCGAGTGTGTGCCCCTCCCTCCCCCCACTGGTCCCTGTACACTACTTGGCAAAATCGACGAGTGTGTGGACATGAAGTGTCAGGGGTGGATCTGTTCACCGTGACCTCTTTCCCATCTGAAACGCACCAAACTATCTTAACACAAATACAAACTATAAGCAGTGAAAAGCACTCTTTAATAAGCGTCATGATGTTTGAGTTATGTACACGAGACATAATCATCTTTAAACATCAGGTATTTTATTTTGTTACAGTAAATGTTGTTTGTTTCAATGCGGACGTTAACCAAACACATCTGAAACGTTACCAAGCACAATATATATTTATTTACTCGTCACTTACACAAGATGTTATCATTCTTATATTGTTTTATAGTTGTTTTCAGTTGATGTTGGTAGATTTTTTTTTATTTATACCACATGTTTATCAACTGCACCAGATGTTTACTGTAAGATCCAGGTGTTGTTTTATATACTTACAAATTATGTTCTTCGTGTTAACCAGGTGTCAATCGTTCACATCACATGTTTAATAGCTTCACAAGATTTATATAAATTTGTGCTAGATTTTTTGTATTTACACCATATGATATTGTTTGAACTAGGTGTAATTTTTTTTTTTACATCAGAAGCTTTTTATTTTCACCATATTGTGTTTTACATTGTTTGTATTCACACCATGCTTTATTTGCACCAGATGTTTTGTTTCCACTTGATGTTTTTATTGACAACATGTTTTTATTGTCCCCAAAATTGTCTTGTTTCCTCTAGATATTTTTTTTTTACATCAGAAGTTTCCATTTATACCAAAAAGTTCACAATTCAACCCCAGATGTTTAAACATTCCATCACATTTACTCGTGTAGTCTTTTAAGTCTCTTCAGCAATGTCAACATAATTGTATTAACTGTTATTTGTGTTTATACCATTTTACTGTACCTCCTTCACTGTTCAGTAAAGAAATGATGGAAATCTTATGATGTGCGAGTTTCCTCTAACCTGAGTGAAACCGCCATATTCTAATATTTGAAGAGTTGTGAACCTCTCAAGTGAAACCATAAAAAAGGGTAATTTTGTCGAGTTGTTGTTGTTCCTGCTACGGTGGTTGTTGTTATTATTGTTGTGTTGTCGACGGTGGTGTTGCGTGTCGACGTTTAGTGACGAATTGATACATTTATTCTCAATTTTTACTACGTACTATAGTAAACAAACGGCCTTGAGTTGCCAGCTGTGTCCAGCAGTGTTCGAAGTATCTTGAACGAGATTGTACGTGAGACTCAGATTCTCTTTCAGCCTGCCCCTGGTTCAGCCACAGCTCCACCATCCATCCAGCTTAATGGTACTACCCTCTCTAATGTTATCCACTTTCAGTATCTCGGTTCCCACCTGTTCACCACCGCGGACATCGATGATGAGATTCAACATCAGATCACATGTGCAGCTCAAGCCTTTGGCAGACTCTATATCGGTACCCGTGTCTTCAGCAGTAGGGAGCTGAAATTATCTACAAAGTTGCACGTGTATCGAACAGAGACTCCCTGAGACACACTGAGATTCTCTGAGATACTTTTGGACTCCCTGGGATAGTCTGAGACTTTCTTGGACACTGTGGCACTCCCTGGGACATTTTGGTTCTCCTTGTGACACTCTGAGACTCCCTGGGACACTGAGACTCAATGGGATAATTTGGGACTCTCTTGGACACTGACACCCTGGAATACTCTGGCACTCCGTAGTACACTGGTACACCCTAGGACTCGCTGGCACTCCATGGGACACTGGTCAAAACCTAACCTAATTTATTTAACTCCTGAGTTAACTAAATATTTTATTTTTTTTTTATCATAATCATTATTATCATTCTCAACAATTCTCGGTCGATTATCTTCTATGGCGTTTCCGCGCAAATGACCTATGTTGTTATTATTGTTATTATTTTTGTTATTATTAATCATCTAATTGATACTACAATAATACCTTTAAAGTCACTCCCGCTTTTAATATAATTCAAAGTAATTTTATAAAGTCTAGCCTTTAATCTCATATCTTAACACTTAGTTATATTTGTTTTCTTTGATGCTCTGTTTAGAGAAAACTTAACTTCTATAGGGGGCTTCTTTACTTTTTTATTATTGTAATGTATAAGATTTATTTTTCTTTATCCTCTTCGCCAGTGACCGGCCTGTCACCTCTCTGTTAGGCACTGTGGGCATATACTGGCTCTCTCTTACGTACTGTTGGCACTGTGGGCATGTACTGGCTCTGTTACGTCCTGTTGGCAGTGTGGGCATTTACTGGCTCTGTTATGTACTGTTGACACTGTGGGCATGTACTGGCTCTGTTACGTCCTGTTGGCACTGTGGGCATGTACTGGCTCTGTTATGTACTGTTGGCACTGTGGGCATGTACTGGCTCTGTTACGTACTTTTGGCACTGTGGGAGCTAGTCATGCCCAGTTTGATTTAATAGAAATAAGATTGTAATCAGAAGACCAAAAGGGGGTAGAAATTGAGTATGAATAGTGTGAAGGGTTAGAGATAAAACAAAGATCAAGAATGTTAGTAAGTTGGTCGTGTAGATCTGGAATACGTGTAGGGTATTTAATTATTTGTTACCTGGGTCATCCCTTGCAGACCCAAGCCACTTTCTGTTGACATCCCCTAGGTAGAGGATCTCGGTGTTGGGGTGTGTGGATAGTAGCGACTCCTGGCAAAAAGTGAGATAGTGAAAGCATTCCAAATAATTGGTAGAGTTAGGAGAACAGTATAGGAAAAAATATTCATAATTAGTGGAGATAATTTGAGCCAGATGACATAATAAAGAGAAGATTCAAGATCCGTTATTCGAGCTACAATTGCGTTGCAGTCGGCACATACACCTCCCCTAGAACGGAAAGAGGTATAAAGATTGTAGTTTGAGACTTGAAAAAGTTTGGGTGAAGCAGTTTTGGTCAGTTGAGGCTCAAATAGTAGTAAGAGATCTGGGGAAGGGGTTAATAGTTGGATCTCGGGCCGCGAATGTTGGAAAAATAAAGTGTGAAAAAATCTGCTCCTCCATCAACCGTGGTGATGTCAGTTGAGGCCCCAGTAGCCTGATGATGATCAGGTCGGCCCTGGGGTCTACAACCTTTCCTACAAGTGGGACCCATCCGAGAAAGCTCCACTTTAATATTATTGTTAGCTTATTTCATAGAACATCTACTACGAAACCACCTTGTAAAGGAGCGCCAACACGGTTTTATGCCAGGGCGCTCCTGGTTAACACAATTGCTCAAGGTATTGGATATTTGGACCCGTATTCTGGAACTGGGTGGTAATATCGACATTATTTACCTAGATTTTGCCAAGGCTTTCGACAGTGTACCCCACGAAAGGCTGAAAATCAAACTGGAAGGGTACGAAATTCGGGGAAATGTCTTAGCGTGGATAGAAGACTTTCTACATGAGCGCAAGCAGTGTGTGGTGATTAATGGCACGAAATTATCATCCGTACCTGTCACAAGCGGGGTACCACAGGGCAGTGTATTGGGCCCGCTGTTAATTGTTTGTTTGTTTGTTTGTTTGTTTGTTTCATAGATGACATGCCTGGCGTTGTACACTCCTCCATACAAATGTTTGCCGATGACGCCAAGTTATTTCGGGAAATCCAGAACCAAGCGGACTGTGAAGAGCTGCAGATGGAACTCTGTGGGCTCCAAGAATGGTCGAAGAAATGGCTGTTGAGATTCAATGTCACGAAGTGTAAGAGGATGCACCTAGGGCGTACCAACGGTAAGGAGGCGCATCATATGTCCCAACGGGATGAAGAAACTGCACTATTTGAGACAATGTGAGAAGGACCTAGGTGTGTATGTTGACAATGAGCTGGAGTTCTCGGGTCATTGCGATAAGAAGGTAAATGAGGCAAATAAATTATTGGGAGTGAAATGCTTCCCCATCTTGAGTACTGTCACTCTGTCTGGTTCCCGAGATATACTAGGGACTGTCAGTTGGTTGAAAATGTTCTAAGGAGGGTCACCAGACTGGTGCCTGCACTTCGGCACCTCAGCTACCCTGAGAGATTGGAGTTCCTGAAGTTGCCTAGCTTATACTACAGACGGGCAAGGGGAGACCTCATTGAGGTGTACAAGCATTTCAAGGGGCACGTCCTTACTTGGATCTGGCGGAAGCTCGCCCCACAAAGAGTCACAGCTCAAGATTGAAGAAACCGCAAGTCCATAAAATTGTAAGGGCAAACTTTTTCGGAGTGAGAGTTGTGAACTCTTGGAACAATCTACCAGAAAGTGTTGTGACGGCACCGAGTGTGAGCTCTTTCAAGACCAAACTTAACCAGCACTGGAGCAGGTTCAGGTACATTCAGGAGCCGGTGCATGCCCAGTACTTACCAACAGTGCGTAACACAGACGTGACCGATCGCCCAAGCGGCTGACGAGCCGATCAGTGGTGAAGACAGTAAAAGTAAAGATCAAGAGTGAGTAAAGTTATATATGATGTGTTGACAGTAGTAAGAGAGAGAATTGAGATCCTGCAATTATGTGCAAGTATTGTGGAATTGTTGTGAGCAATATAAAATAAAAAGACTAAGAAATTGTACACTGGTAGTGTAATGAATATGTAATCGAAGTGAGAAGTCTAGCTGTGAAGATATTACTCTGTGAACAGTGTTGTGAAGAATTCGTATTTATCAATGAAGACTACAGTGCACAAGTGTGTTTCTGTGACCTGGTGGAAATCTCCTGCCTGTTGTTTGTCTGTACACTGATACCGATCGTCGGGAAATTACCGGAGACTGGTGGGATAGCCAATGGCAATTCGACGACACTTGTGATATATCTACTGTTTCTGTATATAGACCTGGCCACTGGTAACCAACGATGTAAGCTGGGTAGACGGCAAAAGGAGGGTCGTAACTATTGATTTTGTTGGAAAAATGGGTAGGAATTTAACATAATGCCAACACTTCATTCTGTACCCAAATGTACTTAGTTCCTTCAAAATGTACCAAAAAGTCAGTGTACTATGTACCAGAAATATACTCCCCAAAATATACTATCATATCACAATTAATTTATTTTTAATATAAAATTACAAGCAAACAATTATAATACGTTTAAAACCCTTTTAAATATATTAAAGAAAATAGCAAATTTCATCTATATGCTTCCACAAAAAAATGAATTTTTAAAAATCCTAAGCTCTCTTGATTTTTATTGCTAAAAGAAGCCACGTTGGATAATAATCACGTGTAGACTCATCCTTATTCTGTCTAATTGATTTGTGCCTTTGAAGAGTGTATTTTTAGCTATATTAATTTCGACAGTTGAAACCGAGAGAAAAAATATATGTGCGATTAGGTAAAGAGTTCAAATGAGGTTAATCTCAATCTGAATCTCGAACGCTCGGTATTCATCAGACTACATATTGCCTAACAAGATTTAATTGCCCTCTTGATTAAAGACAGGCGTGGCAATTTTCTGCTAAGAATATCTCGTTAAATATCTTTAACTGAATGTGACGCGTGGGTATCCGTGTAACTCAACCGGACTTGTATAGGCGATCAAAATAGACAAGGTAAACTGAGGGGGCAGAAGGTCAACAGGACTGCTGGTGGCATGAGCAACGCGTGATATATGTGTTGCAGAACTTCTATCAACCGAAGTATGATGAAATGGACCAGCTGTATATTCCCGGAGTAAGGTGAGTTGTGCCAATTGAGTTGTCTTGGAGTAACATATACTGTATGTATGAATTTTGCTTGTATGCTCATTCTCTTCGACACTTGTCATCTAACTAGCCGGTATTTTTTCTGCTACTCACTGTTGGCAAGAACTGCAATAGGCATGTACGGGTTGTGTTTTAATTCGCAGAGCACGATGAATCGACCCATAACGTTTGACGCTATAATGTTATGAGTGTCTTTCAACAACTAAGGTAACAAAGGTCTTTAAAGTGCATAACAAGGTTGGTAGTTACTCTAGTCC